CCCGCTCGCCCTCTTTCCTGGCACAGGGCCGACTTGGCTCCTGGACGTCGGGAGCGCCTCCTCACTGGGGAGCTATCCGGGGTCTCCTTCCGCCGGGTGATCGGTCTCGGCGGGGATCTGGTAAGTACGCGCCCGGAGGCCTTCGGCGTGTCGGCCCCTTCGATCGGCATGCCGCGCGCGATGGACCCGCTCGAATCCCACCGCCAGGCGGCGCTGGAGGCTTCCATGCGAGAGGCCTCCCTGCTGGAGGCGACTCCCGGTCCCCCCGGGGACATGGTTTCTTCAGACGGCGATCCCAGTCTCGCCACCTCTTCCATGCCGCTTGGCGCCGTGCCGCCGGCCGGGGCTCCCGGTGTTTCTCCCGGACCAGCTGACCCCCCGGCCAAGGCCGGCACCTCCCCTGCGGAAGCTGCTCCTGCCCCGGCCCCCGGCCCGGAGCATATTGCCAATCACAATGGTGGCTTCTTCGAGGTGACCCCCTTTATCTTGCTTCAGAACAACTTCGCCTGGGTGGAACTGCCCGACGTGGCGGCCCGGTACCCGCACCTCTCGCCCGGGACCACGGTTCCCGGCATTCACCCCATACTGCTGGGCGGGGTTCCAGCTGCTCGCCATGGCGTGTTGCCGGCCTCCGAGCAAATGCCGGCCGGCGATGCGTCGGCTCTGCTGGGCCGCCTGGCGGCTGGCGGCGCGGCCCCGACGCAGGGCCTCTTCGCCTCGGGGGTATTGCTTCGAGCCGGGGCCACGGCCAATGGGGCTGGCTCCGGGGCGTACGCCTACTACGCGGGGCTGGTCCCGAAGTTCCCGCTGTCCTACTTCCCGCCAGCCTCCTGCCGTGATCGGTTCCGGTGTTCCTGCACACCGGAGCCCCCCGACCAGGGGCGGCCTCCGGCCGGCCCTGGTGGCACCGGGGCGCCCCCCTCGATCGCACGCCCGGCCGACCAGGCCCCGCTGGACAGCAGCAACGTCGGCCCGGTGTCCATGAGCCTGATCGATGGCCGGGCCGTAGCACGGCTATGGCCGCCAGCGCGGGCGACCCACGGCCCGGCCGCGTGGTGGCAGCAAGTCGCCGGCAGCCATGGCTGGCCGGCCATGGCCGACTCGGGGTCCATGCCCCGGGGCGCTGCCGCCCCGGAGTCCCTCTGGCCGCGGAGTTTTGCCCGGCGGCCCCGGTGTCCGTGTGCCCTTGTGCCCATTCGCACGGCAGCCAACGACCCGGTGGTGTCGGCGTATGTGTGGTGGCGGGTGGTCGCACCGGCCACCTTCTCCAATGGCCGGGTCCTCTATGTGTGACTGGTGTCCCGCTTCCCTGTTTGTCTGCACCTCTGTGCCCCCCCCCCCCTCGCCCCTGTCCCGCCAAAAAAAAAAAGACCCCCAACCAAAAGAAGAAGAAGAAAAGGACGCACTGATGCATGCGCCATTCGGCCAAGTACCAGCTATGAGCACATATGCGCATCAGTGGCCATTGCTCCCCCCCATCCTCCCCACCCCACCCACCCCACCCCACCCTCTGCCGAGTGCGGGCAAAGGAGGTTTCATTGATGGTGGAGGGGCGAGCGACCCAGCGCATGCCCATCGGGAGGGTCTATAAAATACAAGGGCAGGGCATTGGGGATGTGCTCCTACCTCCATGAAGGGGGGGCGCTTTCGAGCAGACGCGCTCGGTGCCCGGGGCCGTGGGCATCAACCGCCATGTCCAGGCCGACAGACACGCTAGGCAGGAGGTGCTGCGCCGCGTCATTCATCAGGATGTTGTTGATGCGGTAGTGCCGGACCAGTGCCTCGCGCAGGTCCTCCGGCGTGGAGTCCTGGCGGAGTTCACTATTGACCGTGGTCTCCAGGAGGGCCTGCACCTCGGGCACATCCAGCATCAGGCCGGCTTCGATGAAGATCATCGGCAGGGAGATGTCCTGCACCAGACGCATGGCCGCCTGCGAGTAGGGGGTGTGCGAAATGAAAAGCCCAACCACAGGGAAGTGGGAGGTCGTGGCAGGCACCGCGGCAGCCGCGGCCGCCGCAGCGGCGAAGGCCGGCGACGCGTCAAACGAGTCCTCATCATCTTCCCAGGGTGCCGAGGCGAACGGCGAATAGGGCGGGGGGGTCACCGTCGACAGGGGCCGCGGGAGGGCCAGGCCGCCGAGAGACGCGCCATCGGCCGCATCGGGGACGGCGAAGTCCGCTGCCGGCGCCGAGAACTCCTCCCGGTACAGGCGATAAATGGCCGGAGGCCACTTGGGTGGACTCAGGCAATGGATGGAGCTAATGGTGCCGAGGAAGCTCCTGACAAAGTTGACCGGGATGGATTTGGTGGAGTACTTGCACTGGCAAATGACGGCGACCTTCCTGCGAACGGGCGCAAGTCAAAGACCGGGGGGAGGGGGGACAGATCGAGGAGGGAGAGAGAGAGAGAGAGAACGGGGATTAGGAGATCGGAGGGGGCGCAATGGCCAAGGGGGCGAGCTCTCCCGGGGATGGGGGCCGAAAAAAAGAAGAAGAAGAAGAAGAAGACACAGGGGGCGCAGGGAGGAAACAAGGAACAAGAAGGCCCGAGGGGACACGAACTGGCCGTTTCGAAGGTTCCAAGACCCGAGAAGGTCGATGCCGTGGTCGGCCGTTTGCCCGGAATGCCGCAGGGACATCGGCAGCAGACGCTCCAGGGCGAAGAGACTCGACAGCTCATAGAGAAGCCCGGATCGGTAGTAGCTGAGCAGCGGCGCCCCATCGGGCGGAGGCGCGCCAGCCGGAGCGCGACGCCGAGGAACGGCCCCATATGCCCGAGCCCATAGGGCGAGGTGTCGGCCGGCGGCCGGCAACCCCTGCACAACACCCAGCGGTCGGCAGAGCATTGGAGTGGGAGGGGCGGGGAGAAGCAGTACAGCGGCGGTATCCGCCTGTGTGTGTGTGTGTGTGTGTGTGTGTGTGTGTGTGTGTGTGTGTGTGTGTGTGTGTGTGCGTGTGCGTGTGTGTGTGCGTGCGTGCGTGCGTGCGTGCGTGCGTGCGTGTGTGAGCAGCTGTGAGGGCTGACTGTGTGCGACCAGTCGCTCCTGTGCCGCCTCGGGCTCCCTCAAAACAGCGCACATTCCTCGAGATCCCCTCGCAGCAAACTCCCGCAATGCATGTGTGCCTGGGGGGGGGGGGGTGGTGGTGCTTGTGTGCGCGTGGGGATGGGCCGGAAGAGCCGGACCTGCTTGGGCGTACATCCCAGTCCCCCAGTTGAGCCCTGCGGAAAGACAGCCGCCAGGGGAGGCAGGCGCCGATGCCGCCCCCGGCCTCGCTCGGCCTCTTGTCAAGCACGCGCGCGCCCGCGCAACGGAGGGGCAGGATCGCAGATCGGCTGCCCACCCTTGGGATGCCAACGATCAAATAACGTGACTCGGCCCCGGTGGTGTCAGCGGAGGACGCCCGACCGAGGCGCCCTGTGTTAGCCGGCGCGCGCTCCTTTGTTGTTGTTGTTGTGAGTGCGCCGAAACCGCCGAGATTGGGGGCTACGCGTCGGCCCTCGGCCACCTGCCCGCCGACGCCCGTTCCCCGGGGTCCGCATTGCGTTCTGCCTCACGTTTCAAGCTGGGGCGCGTGCGAGCTTTTCTTTTTTCCCCCCGAGGGACGGAATTTAGGCGAGTCACACAGACGGGGGTCCCGGTCGCCGGGCTGGGTGCCCCCCCCCCCCACCCCCCACACCCCGGCCAGTCACGGATCCCCCCTTGTGGCATGCTTCGGCTATCCATCCACGGAAATGGCCCCGGCCATGCCCGAGGCAAGGGGCCTTTTTGGCCGGCCCGACCAGTGGCCTCCCCCACCTCGGCGCGCCTCAGTCGCCTTCCTCCACTCTCTCGGCCCCTCTTGACGCTCTTGCCCCTGTGCCAGTCACTCGCATTCCCTTTGCAGGCAAACCGCGCGCGCGCTCTCTCCCTCCCCTCTCTCCCTCTCCCGCCCATCCCTGCCACCCCATTTCATCGGGGGCAGACTGCCTTCCGCCTCCTCCCCCTCCCTGCCCATGTTACAGTCCATCTGCCACTCGTGCCACAGCCTGGATGGCGTGGTTTTCCTGCAGGAGATCGTCGGCCATGTGGAGGACGTCCTGCCATCGGCACTGCCCCTGCTGTCGGCCTTCTCCGTGGCCAGCAGCTCGCAGTTGGACCGCCGACGCCTGACTCTTTGGCAACAGTCTGAGGCCCGGCGCTATCGGTCTTGGTTGTCCGGGCTGGCCATCGGCATGTTTGGCACTGGGGGAGTGTCCACCGGGGCCACGGCGGCCGGTGGGGATTTCCCCTCGCCGGAAGTCGACAGCACCGGCGGGTCGCCACTCGGCGGCCGACCGGCGCGCGGCCCGGCTTCCCCGGGGTCTGGACCGCCGGCGGCCTCCTCGCCCGGAGGCGCTGCCAGCCCCGGGCACCCGATGTCCCAACACTCGCGCAGCGCCAGTGCGGAGGCCAGCCTCGGGGGAGCTGGCCCTGGTCGGCCGGTGTCCGGGCAGCTGTGCTGCGAGTTCACCGAGCTGGCCTCCTTGTACTTGGAGTTCCGGTGTTGCGTGTCGCCGGCCACCGAGGCCATGTCCCTGTTGGGCAGCGCGGCGGCCGGGGCATCTCCACGGCTGGCATCGGCCGGGGCTTCAGATGGCCCCTCGCGACTCAAGCCCGGGGACTTGCTGGCCACCGGGGCCTCGGATGACGCGGCCTCCTTCGACTTGGGGCTGAGCTCGCGCTCGCGCGTGTTCATCCCCCGGCCGCCGGCCGTGACGCCCCCCTGGTGGTGGCCATCCATCCCGCAGCAGGCTCTGGCCATTTTGCCAACCTCCTTTGTCGGGTCATCCCTCGGGCCCAATGGCCTTGCCGGCACCTCCGGCACGGATGGCTGTTCGCCTGCCACCGGGCGCCTCCCCCTGGCCAGTCCCTTCATCGATCGTGTGGGGTCCTTCCATGCGGCCAGCCATCCCACCCCGGCGGGTGCTCCTGCGTGTGGGCACCTCCCCTCCTTCTCGCCAGGGCTTCCGCCTGGCAGTGTTTTGCGTCCGACGGCCGCTGGTGCGCTGGCATCTCCGCCCTTCCTCTCTGCGTCTGCCTCTTTGCCTCTGTCACGCTTTTGCTCTCTTCCCTCTTGGGTAGCACCTGCGTTCGTGCCCTCACTGACCATGGGCTTCTCTCTCCTTCTCCTTCTCTCTCTCTCTCTCTCTCTCTCTCTCTCTCTCTCTCTCGAAAAAAGACCGTCTGGACGCCTCCCTCAGCGCACACCTTCACTCCTTGACCTCGTCCATGGCCTTCCCCACCTTCCTGCCTGCCGACGCCGGGCTCGCGCACAAGCCCCTGGTGCACTCGCTTCTTGTTCAGTCCATCCAGCAGGGCATGGGGCTGCCCTCGAATCACCGCATCGAGGTGTGGCTTCGTTGCAGTGGGGCACTTGAATTGGCCGCGGACTCCCTTTCCCGGTGGATGCTGCATGGGATCCCGTCGGCCGAACGCAGCCTCCTCCTGTCCGGGTGCGTGTGCATGCTCCCCAGGCCGGAGGTCTTCACCGTGCCACGGCCACCAGCACACGAGCCCCTCCATGGGGCCTCGCCGCCTCGCGCTCCTCGCGCCCCTCTTCTTCTTCTTCTTCTTCTTCTTCTTCTTCTTCTTCTCCTCAAGCTGCACCGGCCGGCGCTTTCGTCCGTTTACTGACATTCCTTGTACACAGTGGCGGCATCGTTCACACCCCCTACCTGAACCTGGTGAGTCTGGCCAAGTCCAGCCTCTCGCCCCGGTATGGCCAGCTCCGGCGCGAGATCTACCGTGACATCGGGCGGACCTTTCCGCAAGAGGCGGATTTCGCCCACTTCTGCACCTCGGAGCACCTGTGCGAGCCATGCCGCAAGCTAAATTCCCCGTCCCTGTCGCAGACTGTCTCACGGGGAGACCTTCCCACCTGTCGGGGCACCTCCTGCGGCAATGACATGCTGGTGGACATCCTGCTGGCATATGGTGCACGGAACCCGGTGCGTGCTGTGGGGCCCTGAGGCCTTTGCTTGGCGTTCGTTCATGCCTCCCCATCAGTGGGCCCTGACCCTCCGCCCCCCCCCCCCCCCCCCCCCCCCCCCCCCCTCTTCTCGCCGCTTGATGGCCATCAGGACGTCGGTTATGCTCAGGGGATGAATTTCATCGCCGGAACCATCATCAAGGCGGGTGCCTCACGCACACAGGCCTTCTGGATCCTGGCCGGGCTGATCGAGCGCGTTCTGCCGCCGGCCTTCTTCGGCAAGCGCTTGGAGGGATCGCGCATCGAGTGTGACGTGCGTTCTGCCCCTCTCCCCTCTTCAGTGGGCGGCATCCTGCCCGCTTTCCTTCCATTGGCTCTTCCTGGCCAGCCCCTTGCTCGGGTCCTTCAGCACCCGGCACTGACCTCCCGGCCGTAATCCACACGCTGGCATTCCTCGCCTCCCCTCGCCTCCCCCCCCCCCCCCCCCCCCCCCCCCCCCCCCCCCCCCCCCCCCCCCGCGACGCGCATCCCCCGGGCACACCCCCCCACCCCCCGCCCCCCCCCCCCCCCCCCCCCCCCCCCCCCCCCCCCCCCCCCCCCCCCCCCCCCCCCCCCCCCCCCGCCACCTGGCAGATTGTCGAGCGCCTCTTCGAATCGCCGGCCACCATCGAACGCCTCCTCCGGGCGGGCTACCACGCTGACAAGAGCACACTCTACCGGGCCATCCGGCGCCAGGGCATTTCCTCGTCGGCAGTGCTGATGGGGTGGATGGCTGCCCTGTGGTCTCTGTCGGACTTGCCGTCTGAGGTGCGTCTCTTGGCACATGTAGATATGCATCTCTGTCAGTTTGTCTGCCCGCTGACCCTCCTCACCCCCTGCCCCCATCTCCCCCTGGTCCCTGTCGTTCTTCCCGCGGTTGCTGTTTTCCCCATCCTCGCCATCTCCGCCATCCTGTTTGGTCCCCTTCCCCCCTCCCTTCCCCCCTCGCCCCCCTGCTGGGATAGATTGTTCTCTTGATCTGGGACCGGCTCTTCACCGAGGGCTCGGCAATTCTGACACACACATCGGTCTGTTTGCTGGCATGCGCCGAAGCCGCAGTCCTCCAGCAGCAAGCCCAGGCGCGGCTCTCGTCCTCCGCATCCTCTTCCGTCGGGTCCAGCTCGGAATCGCTCTTCGGGCTGTCGTCCTTCTCCAGCTTCTTCGGTGCGGCGACCGGCCGCCCCTCGCGAGGCGCCTACCCCAACCCATTGTCAAGCATGCCGGGACCGGGTGATCCACCTCGGGTGTCGATCAAATCCATTTCCCTCTCGGATCTGCTTGACGAGCCGGCGGCCGGTCGGTCGGCTTTGCCCGAGGCCCCGGTGCCCGGGCCGGACCCCGAGACCGAGGATGGTGCCGAGCCGCCCATCGATGACCCGGCGCACTTCCGCTGGAAGAAGGCCCTCTCCTGGCTGTCACCTGGGCATGAGGCATCCACCGGGGCGATGCCGGACGCGATGGCCCTCGGCCCGGTGGCGTCCGGCCCGGTGACACCCGGGCCCATGTCCTCCGATGCCGCCGAATCCCATCTCCCAGTGTCAGACCCTCCGAAGGCCGATGCCCCGGTGGCCGACGCCCAGCCATCCGACCCGGGCGTGTTGCCCCCGCCGGCCCCCGGTGCCCCTCTGCCGGCCTCCAGCCGACCGACCTCCCCTTTCGAGACCGGGTCCATCACGGTTCTCTCAGATGAGGACCTCTTCCTGTCGGGCAGTGATAGCTCCTTCCAGATGCTGGGGCCGGGCTTCGACTCGCCCTCGGAACTGCAGCTCTTCTTCAATCAGGCCATTCAATTGGCCCTGGCATGCGGCCAGGCGCCGGGAGGCCGCGTGCCCGCCAGTCCCGGACCCTCGGCCTCCGCCTCGGCGGCCGGTGGCCTTGGCAGCCTGGGGAATGTGGTGTCCCTGCCGCGCCCCGGGGGTGGCGATTCCACCGGCCCCGGCGCCTACCTGCCCTATTCGACGGTCCTGCTGGAGGCACTGACCGGGCCGCTGCTCGTCAACCTGCAGGCTAATCGCATTGCCAAGCTCCGCTCCGAGGCCACCATCCGCATCCAGGTTGAGGACAATATCGCCGAAGACCGCCTCCTCCAGTGGAAGGAGAGCAACAACTTCTAGAAGCACCTCTCGTGCCTCCCCCCCCCCCCCCCCCCCGGGTCTGCGCGCATTCGCCGTCTGTGTCTGCCCGACTCGCCTGGCCCGTCGGATGGATCCGTCTGACCGGTGGCCAAAATCGACCTTGTTTTCCTCCGCCCCCCCCTTGGTGGTGTCTGCTTGCTGGCGCTCGATCCCCGCCCAAAGAGACGGGGCTCTGTTGGCGAATGTGTCGGAGTCACTGGCTGTGGGAGGGGGACATCTATTGTATTGGAGCAGCAGCGCAGGAGAGCCAGGAGGGTGCAGGGGGGGGGGGTCTCCCGCTGCTCCTGCCCGCCAGCGGCCCGAGCTGCGTATGTGTTGTGCGGTGCACGTGCGAGGGGGAGGAGGAGGGGGAAGAAAGAGCAAGGTGCAGCCCGGGCGCTGGGCAGATCACATCTTCAGAGAGACGAATGGAAGGCCGTGTAGAGGGTGATCCAGGCAAGCTAATGGGCGGGCGGTGTCAGACATCGATGGCAGGAGAGCACGACGGGCGAAGGTCATGGGGCCGAGAGCCGGCCCGGCTCGAGCACGGGAGGCGCCGAGGCAGAGGAAAAGGGAGGGAGGGGGCGGGGGGGGAGGGGCGGAGGGACGAGAGGGGAGTCACGACGCACCATGGCCGCAGCCATGCCCGGAGCAAAGCCCTCGGTGATGAGGTCCGAAAAGCCAGAAGAGAAGCCCACCAGCTCCGGGTCAATGCGCAGGTGGAAGCGAGCGAAAAGAAGCGGCGCGAAGACCAGCCCGGCGGCGAGGCTGGCAGTGCGCCGGCGATCGAGGGGACAGACCCGCGGGGCAGACAGGTGGCCAGTCAGCAAAGGGCCGCGGATGTGGCAAGGAGAAGGCGAGCGCAGAATGGGGCAGTCGTACGCGAGGAAGCCCACAAGGCCGCTCATGCCCAGCACACCCCAAATGGCACCGAGGGCAAGTGACCAGAAGATAGATCGGAAGAGCACACGTGACAGGTGGCCAGTCAGCAAAGGGCCGCGGATGTGGCAAGGAGAAGGCGAGCGCAGAATGGGGCAGTCGTACGCGAGGAAGCCCACAAGGCCGCTCATGCCCAGCACACCCCAAATGGCACCGAGGGCAAGTGACCAGAAGATGCGCACGACAGACACCGTGTCCAGGAGTTCATCCTTCAAGTGTGCATGTCATTTGGGGGAAGGGGGAGGGTGCAGCGAGGGAGAGAAATAATTGTCAGATGAGGCCCGCGAGAGGGGGGAGCAGCGAGGCAAATGCCACGGGGCAGGCGAGCGAACCTTCTCCCAGTTGGAGCCACCAGCCAGGGCGCGGCTCAGGCACTGGGCGATGGTCAGCGGGGCACCGCCGGTGGCAGGGCTCGGGGCGACGGCGGGGACATCAGGAGCAGCGGCGACGGCGGAGGCCTGGTTCTGCTTACGCTGGCGAGCAGAGGACATAATGCAAATGCGGGTGCGGGTGCGGGTGCGAGCGAAGGCAGTGCAGGGCGCGCGGGGCGAGGAGCTGGGG